TCTCTCCTATTGAGCACGTTTGGAGCATTATGGGCAGGGCCCTCTAACCAGCTAGGGATGTTGACGATCTAACGCGCCAGTTGGACAGAATTTGGCACGATATCTCTCAAGAGGACATCCGCAACCTCTATCAATTGATACCAAGCCAAATAACTGCTTGCATATGAGCCAGAGGTGGACAAACGCTTTACTGACTTTTTCACTTTGTGAAGCTCTATCACTTCAATAAATCATCCTATTTTTCTCAAACTGTAATCATTTGTTTTTTCTGTACAATTTACATCACTTCTACCGATTTTGTCCATTCGGATAACTCCTTCTTGGTGCGTCTTTTTTTTTTTTTTTTTTTTTTTTTTTTTTTTTTTTTAAAGAAGCGAAGCGGAGAGATATTAGCAAGGTAAAAACTAGTAGAAATAATGCAGCAGAATAATGACGTAGCTATTTTGCCAAGAGTATTTATACAAAGTGTGAGATATAAGTAAAGCTAATCTGTGATTGGTTAATATTAGTTTTAGTTAACCTTTTTCAAACAGAGTTACATAACACAGGAAAATCTCCAATTTGGGAAAACAGATAAATTTAGCGGAAGAGCATCAAATCTTGAATGTTAATTTTTAGGTCGCCAATTATTTTAATTATTTTTTTAAACAACTGTCGTAATTTTTTTATATGTTACATCTTTTATGTAAGATAAAAAAGTATGTGAATTAAAGTTATAAGTTAAACTAACGGTAAACTGTTTAATTCTTTCTGTTTTAAAAATCATAATAACTTTTCTGGATTTCGTCATTTCTAGATCATTCCATTTCGCATGGCCTGCGCAGCGCTGATGACATAATAATTGGGAACTGAAACTTTAAACTCAAACCAAAACTTTTCTCTTCGTGTGCTTCCATATTGCATAACTATGCACTTCAGCTTCGCTCTGTACCATGATAGGATGTAATTTAGCTGTCTTGCTTGTTATCGCAATAATATCAAAAATGCAAATGCTCTGAATAGTTACGACTAGAGTGCCAAGTAATTGTGGCCACAAAAGTCAATTACAAATAAAAATGGAATGACTTCCAAGTTTCTTAGATATTACCAAGTCAACTTATTAGCATACTACGCAATCAGAAATCTTCAATATGGATCTAAGTACGCATGAACAGTGCTCCGTCTTTTCCTTTGCTATTATTACATATATATAAATCAAAATAAATAATTTTTGTTTTATTTTTAATAGTGATATATAACATTTTTAATAAATAAAGAATAAATCAAAACTCAGCACTTATTTTGAAACAAAATAATAAATTTGTATCCCTTCTAAATCCTTTTAATGAAGTAGCCTTATGAATATTTCTCAGAATTTCTTTTCCTTTTTTGATCTTCTTCCAAATTTCCCTGCAATTTTCATCAAAATTAATTTTGGTGTTTAACATACCCTTCAAAGTGTTCACTTTAAGCTGTGTCTTATCACTAGTCCAGAGAAATGTTCATAATGCTAAATACAGTTGCAGCATTGGTGCCAGGAAGACAAAAGAAAAACTCGATTTTAAAACATTTGAACAAGGAATCTGGTTCTTTTTAGAATATGTAGTTATTTCCATCCACCTCTGAGCTGGGCACATCTTATTTTCTGATCATTCTAATACCTTTTCTTTCGTGCTATGTTGTTTAAGATAAGCATATTCCTCATATGTATTAATTTCTAATAATTTAGGATTTGGCATTATTTTATTAATTAACAAAAAGGCTATTTCAACTTGACTCCAGGAAGAGATTTCATTTTGTATTTGTTTCAGCTGTACGTTTCTATCTACTGAAATACATTTTCTGTCCATTTCTCCAAAGTAAGAGCAGTCTGATAAAATGAAACCATGGCTTCCCGAAATTCAATAACTTCGTATTGTGACCTGTCTTTATTCAAGTTTTCCTATTCTTTAACATTTATTGGAATAAAGTTACCCTCCACCTTGCTCAATACTGAAGCTTTCAGAGCATTCGTTGAGGCAATTATATCAAATAGAGACGCAGTTTGATTTTCAGTTGTTGTAATAATATTATTAAATACTGAAGCCTGAATATTAATAAAATGTAACCAAGATTCTGCCACTGGATTTTCAAGGAATTTTCAAATAAGCATGGGACACTTTTCTTTACATTTAAAATAAACCTTCAGTGATAAAAACATTTGGGGTTCCCTTTAATGGCGCGAAATAATGCTAACTATCTTGTTTACGAATACCCTGGTATCGTTGAAAAATCGATATCTATGAAGTTGCAGAAATTGTTCAATGCTTCTAATCTAACGGTATAAGATTTAATGTCTATTTAAGAAATAATCATTTTCATAACAACTGGCAAAACATCAAGTGATGTTCTTACAGTTTTATGGATAATATGCGCTGCACATCCGACTCCAATTAAACTATGGTTAAGGTTTCGTTTCAGTTTAACAAGAACATTATTTTCCCCACGTCTATCAGCTCCTCCAAAGTCAGAACTCATATTATAGGCACAAAGACCAACCCCCCTTTTTTTTTAATTATTTTCTTCAAGACAGGTATTAAAATAGTTGCTTACCATATCGGATGTGTCACCAGGTAAGGATTTAAATTCTAAAATTTTTACTTGAACTCCATAGCTCCAGTCTGTAAATCTAACAAACACTGGAAAAAGTTTTATTTCCTTATCACTGGACGCATCAGTTAAGACTGAAACAAATGACTATTTTTCCAAATCATTATGCAAAGCTCTTAAAGCGTAAGACACGAAAATATTTGGTATTACTGCTTCGGCCTTCGCGCATATGAAAAATTTAAGCTCAAATGCCACTTGAAGCAGCTTGGATGACATAAAACTATGGTTATGGCAAATGGTATGGTATGAAAAAGTACCTACTACTGCAGCTAATTCTTCTTCTTTATCACCCATTTTCTCCCATTTGAAGAAATTCCTTAATAATCAGCTAGATGCAGCAGCAGAATTTGACATTTTATGTTTATTGCTATTTATATGAAGTTTAATATCTGTATGTCCATCATGGCTTATTGAAACTTTTGAAGAACGTCTATTGCACCGTACATCGAAATAGCTTGTAGTTTTTTTTTAATTAACAGGTATTCCTTCTGCAAGTTTTCGTTAAATATACACTTCTTTAAACCCATTACTAAAAACAATCAGTGGTAAAAGTAAGGAATTAATTAAACTGCAGTAAAATATATCCTCAACACGTATGTAATGCATCGCACAGTATATATCTTATATAAATATGTTAAAATACATGTCTTTGCCAAACGGGAAAATCATTACACGTCATCGTTTTGGCAGAATTTTTTTAATTTTCATAAACCTTATGCAAAATCAAAATGACGATGGAGTAAAAATTTTACGATCTAAAAGTGACAAAAGAAAGATTATTTTAGATGGATATATCTACAATGAAATTTGAGCAGATGACAAAAGAATTATCCTTTTGATCCCGTGTAATAATGTGCAAGGGTGTTAAGCTAACGTATGTATTACACCGTTGAACACGTATGTAATAAACCCTTGGTAATTAAACAATATACGTATATATTATAAATTCAAATCACAACCGAATCAATATAAATTAAAAATTGCAGTGCGTCCGTAAGTGAAAGTCTGAACTGCAATTTGAGTTGTAAGCAAAAAATGCGTGTATGTTGGAGGGTTGAGGAGAGAAATACAGGAATGAGAAATAGAACACCTTTACTGCAATTTTCCTAAGGTTAATGCTAGCTGGGGAATTCCCTATTTATGTGGTAGGTATGGTGTGCGTCTTTTACTAGTTACGCCTGTATTCTCAATAAGCAATCTACACTACTTAAATAAGTATATGCATTTAAAATTTTACATTCTCAAGCTACTGTTTTTCGGGACAATTCAGGACAAATGTTATAAATTCGGGGCGAAAAAACGAGTTGTAAAAAATCGGGACAGGGACTGAAAATTCGCGACTGTCCGGAGAAATTCGGAACGTGTGGTCCCCTTACATGTAATGGGAGGAAGAAATGATTAAATTTGCAAGTGTTTTAATATACAGTACGCAAAATTCAGTACACACAGCTGCCACCTCTGGTAGCAACAAAGGCAATCCGACCAAGTCGAACTGAGCTTGCAAGACAGATACGCGTACTTCATTCCATGCGGCTTCATCAGTCGAAGTGGCTGGCAAGTAGTGAAATGCTATGGCCAGGTAGTCTAAGTGGGTAATAGATATGGACAGAATACTGGCCACGGGAACAGTCGAACATTCTCTGTATTGAGGAAGATCAGGACAGCACGGGCAACATTTGATTGTACATTATCTTGTTGAAAGAAGACGTCACGCAGGCCTCGAAGATAGGGCAGAGCCACAGGATTTAACACATATGAAATGTAATGATGGATGTCCACTTTTCAAACTAAAAATAATCGGAATGTGTACCAAATGACAGCCCTTACCAGCACGCTAAGTGCTGGGCCCATATGACGATGCGATGACTAATGCAAGCTAGCAACGTTCGTTCTCCTCGATGCCTCCACGGATACATCTATCTTGATGCTATATGCAGAACCAGGGTTAGTCTGAAAAGACGACCTGGTCCAGTGTGGTCGTTTGTTGTGCAAGCTTCTCATTTATGGTAAATAGTATTACTCATACCTGCTTTGTGCGCATGCACTAGAATGCTATTTATTTTCTCAGCATGTAAGTACCTTTCATGCAAATTTGACTTCTGTTGCATGCCATCCTCATGGTGCCGCAGTTTTAATGGGCAGCAATATATGTAGCTATATAGTTGTATAACTATAACTAAATATTGTAGTAGCTATATAGCTATGTAACTTTACATATTTCTATATGCTACATAGCATATAGAAATATGTACAGTTATTAAGATGTAAATAATACGAGGGCTATTTTTTTTTCAACCTCCGATGGTCTATAAAGAAAAGACGGGTGAATATACAAAAAAGATTTTATTACCAAAAATAATGTACAATACAGGTTATTTCTCTACACAATCACCTTGACGATTGAGGAGCATTTGCCATATCTGTGAACAGCTTTGCAATACCTTCTTCATAAAAGTCCCCGCAATGATTGGAGTGAGTTGTGACCGTTTCTTCAGCTCCACGTCATTTTGGAAGTGCTGCCCCTCAAGCCACTGCTTCAGTTCAGGGAAAAGATTAAAATCACTCGGTGCTAGGTCGGGACTATATGGTGGGTTTTCGAAAATGTCCCATTCAAATTGCTGAAGGAGCTGCTGGGTTACACGAGTGCTTTGAGGACGGGCATTGTCATGGATCAGACCAATTCCAGAAGTCATCATGCCTCTTTGTTTGTTTTGAATAGCTCTCTGTAAGCGTCGCAATGTTTCACAATATGAATCTGCATTAATTGTTGTTCCAGGCTGTATAAACTCCACAAGCAACATACCTTTTTGGTCCCAAAAAAACAGTTGGCGTAACTGTACGGTTGTTGAAGTTTAGTTTGAATTTTGTGGAGAATTTGTGTGCATCCATTGTTGCGATTGTCATTTTGTTTCGGGCATGTCATTTTGAACTAATGTCTCATCACTTGTTACCAGTGGATTTCGAAAAAAATCTTCATCAGTACTCTAACGGTCAAGAAACTCCAGCGCTGCAGCCATTCAGCCAATTTATTGATCGTCTCACTGACGTGATCCCACAGATGTTCCACAGTGATCATCTGTGGGATCACAGCGAGCGCAAACTTTTCTGTAGCGCAACTGTTTTAGTTATGATAGAGTATAGGGAAGATCTTGAAACTTCTGAAAATTTCATCGATAATTCACTTATGGTGAACCTTCGATTTTGCTTAACCGCTTGGTCAACTCGTTGAACAATGTCGTCTGTAGCGACAGACTTGCGTCCTTGACCCCTTTCATCATGCACATCAGTTCGGCCATCTTTAAACTTTCGACACCATTCACGAACAACGCCATCACTCATAAAGCTGTTTCCATACATTCGACTCATTCTTCGATAAATTTCCTCTGCACTGTTCCCTTCTGCCTGCAAGAAACGAATTACAGCTCGCAATTCACACTTGGCGGGATAATCAATAGCGACAGCCATGTTTACGTGACTACAATTCAACAGAAAATGGTGTGCTGAATACGCCAGTGACAGAGCGTGTGGAGGGGGGATGCGCAATCGCCTACTACGCACACCAACCACCTGCTGCATACCTGGCCATCATACTGTGCGATCGGAGGTTGAAAAAAAAAAAACAACCTACATATGTACAGTTATTAAGATTAAAATAAAATATGTACAATAATTAAGGAACATTGATTATATTTCAAAATATCAATACTAATATAATATACTGTTAGCTTCGATCAGCAAGTCCATCGGTTATTTGGGAAAACGAATATTTGAGACAAGTATTAGAAAACCAAATTTAAAATTACCTCTTCCAATTGCTTCTGCAAATGGTTTTCTTTACCACTTTATAGGGAAATGAAGATGATGCATTTGAACTTGAAGAAATGAATTTAGAATAGGCCAGGTAATAAATCGTTCATTTACGATAGCCCTTTATGAAGAAAACCAACATATTTTTTGCATTAGATGAGGGTTTCTTAAACTGTGGGTGCGACTCCCAGTTTAAGAAGAAGTCACGGGACCTGCAGCAGGGGGTCGCCAAAAATGTTAGCAGTTTTGATATTTCTTTAACTTATTATAATAATTTTTAATTACCAAATATTTTTATCTGTATATGAAAATAGATAAAGATAAGATAATACAGACAAAGAAAAAAACGAAAACGTTTCGACGCATTCTTTTTATAATATAAACGTTCATTTTCCTTGCTTTGCACGTGCATTTCGTCTGTTACTTATTTAAAATTTTCACATTGCTCTATGTCTTAAAATTAGTAAGATTATTTATGAATTTATTTTTTATAGTTTTTACTTTTCACTTGCACTGTAATATACTATTACAGTTTTAGGTCATTAAATTTAGAAATTAAATTTAATAACCTAAAACTGCAATAGTATATTACAGTGCAAGTGAAAAAATCGACAGTTTCACTCACGCATGTGTCGGATTTGGTCAATAGTTATGAGGTTCCAAAAAATTTTTTTTAATATTTTGGTGTCCTGGGGTTCGCGGAAAAATCTCAGTGATAAAAAGGGGTCGCGAATGAAAAAAGTTTAAGAAACCCTGCATTAGATAACCTCACTCTTTTGATATAATTCATTATTTAAAAACGAAAAAAAAGCGCACGGTAGTATATCCTGAGCATTTCGTCCAATAATATGTTTTAGGGACACATTGATCAGCAGCAAAAAGAGTCCAAAATAATCTTACTAATCTAATCGGCAAAATAAGTTAAACAAATACTGAAAATACTTCATTTCCAACACAGTCCCAATCACTTTCAATGCAGTGTATCACGGTTTCAATAATTTCCTCAAGAACTGTCTCTTTTGATTGACTACATAGCCACTGTAACATGGAATCTTTTATCTCATTGCTTGTGTTAAAGGATACGCAAATATCTTCGATGAGTAACTGTCAGTTTCTCCACTTGCGTAGCTAAAGGACGGCGGTCCACCGTAAAAGGTACATTTTTAGAGCCCTTTTTTTTTTTTTTTTTTTTTTTTTTTTTTTTTTTGAAACATTATTTTATAAGTGATAATCACATGGATGGTAGAGGCACGTGAAGAATAATGAGATTCTAAATAGCCATGTGGAATTAAACTGAGAAAAACATATTTTATTCTAGATGAAGTATATCAAATGCATTTAGTGATTTCAACAGCTGCATACTTTTATTAAACGTTTTTGATTCGATAGAGACTTTTGAATGTAAATTAAGAATAACTATATTGCGATCCCGGTGATATTAATAAGGAAGAACATTTCATTAAGAAAGAGGTATTTCAGAGTTTTACTTCCATTATTGTTAGGATATGGAAATGGAACGTGGAAGAGCAGTTCTTTTAAATGTTTGCAGTTTACTCTAAAATACAATCTCCAGAAGATAGTTCGAAATATTTTAATAGCATTGAGAACTTTACTCTCAATTTTTATAAGTGCTGACAGTTGCTAGAAGTGCTTTCTAAGTAAAAATAATTTAAGAATTATAAATAGCTATTTTTCATTTAAGAAATCGTTCTGTACTGTCTACATAACAGCAACTGTAGCTATCAAACACATCTCTACGATGTCATTGGAATTAAAGTTTATCTTCAGAAATAAACGTAGAGTTTTAATTTATTTCTCTACATACCGTTTTGACCATTTTTGTAACTATTTGCTTTATGTCAATTACCCCTATTGATATAAAATTCAGGAGCCATCCCATATAAATTCCGTGACCACCCCAGGCGTCAAACTCAGGGACCGCCTCGGACAGCGAATCTTTTAACTATGCTACTGATTTTCTCACCTTCAAAATCCAAAATTCGGATGCTCTTTACGCATGTAGTGGAGGGATATCTTGGTTCCTGCTTGTTGACAACCCACTTTCCATAAGCCGAATAAACTGCATGCACTGATATGTCAAGTTTGAGAGCCTAAGTATCTGTAATACAAACGTCTGCTATGTGATATGGATTTCTTTCACCATATTAAGATTACTTTTTGACCGCTTTTTTTATATGAACTTTGTGCCTGAATTGGACATCGAAATTTTCTCAATATTTTTTCTTAAGCTTTGAAGGAATTTCTTTAAAATACTTTATGGGATTAACGTATAATTGAGAAATTATTACAAAAAAATTACAAAGAAATACTGTAAGGAGAAAAAAAATCTAGAAGCCTGAAAAAGAATTATAACTTTTTGGTATATATTTCCAACATCTTGCTCGATAATTAAAGTAATTAAATAATTCTTAGCATCATAAAATGTAAATAATTCACAACAGATTTTAGTAATTAAACTATTTAAAGTACAGATAAATGGTGCTGTTGTATTACTGAGTCAAAATGTTACGGTTGCAGTGCAATTTGCTTAAGCGGCATCAGTTATTTCTGAGGTAATCAAACTGCGTGCCTCAGAATCCTAGGATTCTATGCAAATATTATAGGGATTAAAGGGTGATACAAATAAAAATCAAAATTCAAAAGAATTCTTTAATACCACGCGGAACGCAAAATTAAACATCTAAAATATTTAAATACAAATATTTTTATTTGTGTTTATGTTACTTAAAATGATGTGAAGTAGGTATATTTTTATATGTAAAATTACAATGAAATAATGATTTTCGTTGAATTTTGAAAAATATAAGTTGTGTGTAACAATGATATATTTTCAACGCTGTTTTAACATCTGCTTTTCTGACGACGATGGGTTAAAAAAAATATGATTTGTATATTTCCCCTAAACAAGAAAAGCCTAAATAATGCTAGTTACTTATTATGTGAGTAATTTACTGATCTTCGTTTGCATGCATTTTATACAGGTATTTTGATATATACTGGTCATTAACTTTCCCAATTTCGCATATTATTTACGCATAACATCATGAAATTTCGGTTAATAAATTATTTTCTCTCTTCTTCCAGCATGCCTTCGTGGTGTAACGGTTAGCAAAATCGGCGCATATTCGAGAGGTCCAGGTTCGAGTCCCGGCGAGGGCATTGCTCATTTTTCGTGTTTCCCACTTCAAAAATAACCTAATGTCTCTACAAAATAAAAATCTCGTTTATCTCTTACTGCCTTCATCAGCATCTGAATCCTACTGTTTTTCAGTGACTGCAGTTTTGTGTTGAAGATAACGTCTTTACATACGAATTTTTTCGGAGATGATAATAATAAAAATTCATAATGAAAAATAAGTTTGTTGTCTTTCAAGTCTGAAAGTTATATGATTTTAAAGAAATAAATTAGTTCACTTACTTTAGGATATTCTATGTCATATTCAAACATTCCACGCTCAGACAGGAAACAAAACCTTGTTAAGAATGCCCAATTCTATTAATGAAAAAAATTTTCAAAATCAAAGATTTTCACTAAGAAGAAAAAAATAATTAAAATTCAGAGTGAAAAGAACAATTCATTTCTCAAAAATGAAACGTAGGATTATTTTAAAATACAGATTATTCTGTTTTGTTATAATATAAAGTCATCACATACGCAACTGTACATAATGTTCTTTAATTTAAACTTTAATAAATGATAACAGTCCAAATATAACTGGTGATATTATTTACTGTCAATTTAAATCCAGATAGATTAAAATATTTTACCTCTGCAGTTTGAGCTGAATTTTGAATCGGGAAGGAAAAAAAAAAAAAAAAAAAAAAAAAAAAAAAAAAAAAAAAAAAAAAAAAAAAAAAAAAAAAAAAAAAAGCTGAAAGTATGTATTAAGTTATACTAAATTACATTCATAATTATTATAATTTTCTTCCCTCTACTGCTGCTTACGAAACTGAATTCTTAAATAGCCGGTTTCGAAGCAAATTACATATTCATCTCAAATTCACATCCTTTTTGGCCCCAGCAGAGGCCGAGTATTTTAAGACAGATGGATAATAATAGTTCATCCTGATTCGAATCCAGAAGAAAGAGGTATGTATTGGTTGGTTTTTCGTATGGTTCATTTTTTACCATGTATAATAATGCGAATACGAATCAGTTTTCCTTAAAACGTCCACAGTGAAAGCATCCTCCCTCTAAGTGTATAGCCCCCGTGTGATTTGCCATATTTCTATAACTAATCACATTTCTTTTATGAGAATTTGTCCTAACCAAGTCAACTAATCGCTGAAAGCTACTTGTAAATTTATATATATGCAAATTTTGTCCTGCCAGATTGCGATTTCGCCCAATGTGGTTGCTAATTGCACGGAAAGATTGCCACTGCACCTACTATTTAAAAGTTTTTCAATTTTAAAACTATGATTAACCGGTGACTAACCAAACTTTTGGCATCGTTCTTGAAATGATGCTGTTAATAGATGATTGGTTGACTATGACAAAGCACACAAGGGCTATTTGCCTATGAGGAGGAATTCCTTTATTGAGAACTTTCTAAAGGATATTTACTCGTACACTACCCGAGATTGAAAATGCAACACCAAGAAAGAGTGGACCAAAAATTCTGCAAATTTCAGTG